CATTACTGGTTTTATTATGAATCTATATATATTTTTTCTATGTAGAGCTGATTCTTGAATGGCACAGGTTTGAATTTCGTGGGCTCACTTATAGTGGATTTTTTTCAATAAAATAAAGGAAAAATTCTTGGAGATTTGTGACAATCTGAAAAAAAACCAGTTTCTATTCTCTAGCTTTTTTACTGTAAGAATACAGTATATTAATACATGTAACAGACAAACCATGTTAATCAGCTGTTCATGCTGTTAGTAAGGCTTCCAGTCAACAGTAGGTTATTAGGAGTTGAGTTTTGGGGAAATCAAAAGTTATCCCCAGATTTTCAACTGCATGGCAGGGGGTGGTGCTGGGGGGAGTTGGGGGAGACAGCACCCTAAGCCCCGTGCTGTTTAAGGGTCAGCCATACATATTTGACGATGTTGCATTGCATTTTGTGGTGAAAGCATTCCCTGGCTCAAGGTAAACATTTACACTACACTATAGCTGTTGTCACCGTGTTTGGGCATTTTTTCATTTTAAAATATGAGCCTTAGAAAAGTATATAACCTTAGGTAATTTATTTATTCTCTACCAACCATTTCCTTTCCTGTAAAATGACAGAAAGAAAAAAACACTGCCCTGGCCACTGGCCGCGCCTGGCCAAGGACCTCACCGGCGGGCTGCCGGGGCCCCTAGCCGGCCAGCACAGGGCGATGCCGAATACAGAGCTGCGGGTAAAAGCAGCTTGTTCGAAAGCAGCGCGGACCGGCCCCCAGAGCCACGGGGATTAAACCCCCTCCCCGGAGCACAGAGCTTGAAAAATATACGCCGTCTGTTGTTCCGTTAAGCTCAACCCAGGGAGGATTTAGGCAGCGCCTGCTGTGGTCAGGGGACCCCACCGGGAGTCCAGAGACGACTAGAGAGGAGCGGCCCGCAGGGCCACACAGCGTGCTCGGCGCCGCTGGTGGACTCGAGGCAGCTCTCTGCCTCCCCCTGCTGGCAGTGCCCCCGCCCACTGTCCCCTTTGGCAGGCACTGGTCTCCCCGGAGACGCCCACTAGGCCAGGTGAGGGAGGCTCTGGGGTTTCCATCTGCACCTCACCCGGTGCTCAGGGTTACCATCCTGTTTTACAGAGGAGGGCGCTGAGGCTCAGAGGTAGGTGGCTTCTCCATGCTCACTCATCTGGGCCAGGGCCGCGCGACTCCCTGGTCCGTGTTCACGTAACCGTTTGAGGGGTCACTGCCCCCATGAGACCTGGGAGGGCCTGTAGAGGCTGTGTTGACCAGGAAAACTGATGCTCGGGGAGAGCGGGCCAGGGTCCCTTGGGCTGTCCCTTTGCTGGGAGTCTGCTGCAGCCAGCCTGACACTTGGCAACCTGCAGGTGTTGGAGTTCTTCCAGATGCAGCCCTGGGCCTTTCGTCTTCCCAGTTCACAGCTGTCCCCCACCCACCCCAGGCCTCCAAGTCCACGTCTGTAACAACAGTCACCACCAATGCTCAGGACTCTCCCTCCCGTTTGTTCTCTTGGCTGAAGTGCGGAGTGGCTGCACAAGAGCCGGGTCCTGCCTGTGGCGTCACCTAGGGTTCGCCTCTCCCCGCCAATCTGCCCAGCAGCTTCCACACCCCACTAGGGGACCCGAGCCCACCTCCTGGCCTCTTGGCTCTTGCTAGCACCTTGCCAGATAGCCTGGGGGAGGTAAAGGGATGTCATCGCTGGCTGAGGAGCCCCCGGAAGCCTCCCTTGCTTTCAGAAACCAAGCGCAAACCCCCTTGGAGCCCCGAAGAGCTCCACACAATGCACACCCGCAAGCCCCACACCGTCTCCTGCTTTCCAGCTTTCTGCCCCCTGCCACTCCAGAAGCTTCTGTTTGCTTCAGTCACACATGCTCGTCTTCCACTGTCCCTGCCTCTACCTTGCCCCATCAGGTGGGACCCAGCCCTCTCCAGGTGCCCTTCTGGTGCCCCTGCCTGACAGGGAACACCTGCAGCTGTCTGGTGTTCATGCTGCCCCTGGGGTAGAGGCTGGGCTTGTCTGTCCCATGGTCACAGGGCCAGCTCTCAGCAGCGCCCGGCACACAGCAGCGGCTCAGCGAACGTCTGCGTATGGTCTTTAGAAGGAGGTCTCCCAGGTGTTTCCAGGGCCTCTCGGCAACAAAGGGGCCTCTGTGCCGTTTCCCGTGACCCTGACCTGTGCTGGCACGGAGTCGTCACCTGCCTAGTGCTTTCGGCTTTGTCCCTATCATTTACATATCACCTTGTATGCTTAGTATTTGGCTCAATGACTTCAGAGAAAAATTCTCTGAGACCTGCCAGGTGCCTGGCATGTTTCTAGACACTGGAGACGAGAGACAGTGTCCTACTCATGCTCGTGGTGACACTGATGGTGGTGACATTCATCAAGCCTGACCAGGTCAGGGGTTGGCCTGCATGTAGATTTCTTCTTGCCAGGCACCCCCCAGATCCTGAATAGCTCTGACAGTGCTGGCTTCATACCCAGTCTGCAGCCTCATGGAGGAGCCACTCTTGGCCTGGCCACATGCTGCCAGCCAAACGGGAGGCCCCCATGCCACACAGGCCCAAGGCACAGATGCCACAAAGCAAGCTAACACACAGCTGTCTTGGCCTCTGGACCCGCTTTTTTGCCAAAGGAACTGACTCCCGCCTCTCATTCTGTTCGACCCCCCTCAGTCCTTATTGCCTCCTCTGGAAGCCCTCCCTGCCGGCTCTTCCACCTCCGAGGCCCTAGCCCTCCTCTCACGTGGACCAGCCGGCCCCGTCTCACAGAGGCTGCCCTTCTTCTCCCAAGCCTAGTGCCGCGGACTGAGGGTCTGCATCAGGGGCTGAGCAGAGCACCTGGTGTGGGGCAGACTGGCCCTTGAATGTCCACAAGCCACACCACACATAAGCCACCCGGCCTTTGCCTTCACCGAGACTGCGGCCCCCTCCCCCAGGGCTCCTTCTAGGACTGCCTGCTGCCTGTGGTTAGCTCCCCAGCCCAAGAGGCTACAGGTCCCCCAGCTGGGGCTGCCTAGCAGGGCCCCTGACCCCCTGCACGAAGTGCTCACTGTCTAGTCCAGCACTGTCTGATGAAAACATGCCAGCCATACGTGCAACTTTAAACTTCCTAGTTGTTACATTAACAAAGGGCAACATATGAAATAGATTTTAATAATGTATTTTATTCAACTAAATATATCCAAAGTATTACCCTTTCAACCTATCAATGAAATAGTTTACATTCTTGGCACTCTGGCATGTACTCAAGACTTTGCGTCCACCTGGGTTTGCAGAGTCCCCTGTAAGGTGCTCAGTGGCAGCCTCCTTGCATAACGCAGGCTAATGGTGAGGTCGACATTGGCGATATCAAAAACACACTATGACAATATGTAACAAAGTGTTGTAATGATGACAAGGACAGCCGAGTTCTCTGGCGTAGCCTCTGCCCATTGTCCTGGCAAGGGCACAGCCCTGCGTCCTAAGTATTCTGGGTAATGTGACTACAGCTCTGGTCGTGGAGCTTTACATGAGAACCTAACAACTTTGCCCCCAGGTAAGAGTGGCTGATTCTAGTCCACCTAGGGGGACTTCAGGGAGGTGGTGACATGTATCCAGCCTCCAAGTATGAGCCAGGCGGGGGATCAGGAGAAGGGAGAAAGGACTGGACATTGCAAAGGGAAGGAAGCTTCCTCAAGAATAACTATGGTGCCCCAGCAGCACCCTTCCTGGGCACAGGCCCTGCATGTTCTGCAGCCAGAGTCACCCTACATCCCAGCCATAGTCCCTGTTCATGGCTGTTGTCCAAGCACATGCATCAACAGCACTCTCTTTCAGTCCCCAAATTGTCCAGGTGCTCACCCTGCTTGAACCCCAGGTTAGGCCTGCTGCTCAGGGAGGTTAAGGAAGCTGACAAAGGGCACATAACACCTAGGTAACAGGCTGGGCCGTAAAGAGGAGGGTCTGTGACTCAAAGCCCTGGCCTCCAGGGCCTGAGGCTTGATGGCTCGGCTGTGGGCCAGGAATCCTCTCCTCCACACCAGGCCACTTACAGCTGGGAGCCTGAGAGGGTCTGTGCTTGAAGGCTTAGCAGGAGCGAGGAGGGAAAATGAAAGTCCCAAGGCCCTTTCAGGTTCACCGTGCTGATCGCAGCTAAGGCTGACCACAGGCTCCTCAGAACACCAGGCAGACAGGTCTGGGCTAGCTCTTGGGCCCTCAGAACTTAACGCGAGAGGGAAGAGGCGCAAGCCCTGAGCCTGGGACATTTTGCCTCCGTGCTCCCTTCGTTCTGGGGAGCTGATGATGCCACTGCTCTCCGTGAGTGGTTTGCTGGGACAAAGTGGCTGCAGAGCACGGTGACCACCCGGTACAAATGGATCAAGGGTGGTGGGGCCAGGGTTGAATTCTACCACGTGTTCTGTGTTGAAACAGGCTGGGAACTGGATTTCTGCAAGGCAAATGTTAGCTTAGCAGAGTAGCCACGTCAGATGGGCTGAAACTCCCCACACCCACCTGGGGCTCTGACAGCGTGGCTGCTCCCTCGCCAGCGTCACAGCAAACAAATATCCAAATCACACTCTTTCCTTCTTCCAGGGCCACTGGGCCCCACCGGGACCAGGGTGTCCTCCCAACGCAGGTAGGCCTTTAGCTGCTACAGCAGCGGCAGCAGGTGATGCAATCAGATGGGCACTTGCCACCCTTTGTGCTGGCTGCAAGGAGCTGAGGCAAGTGCGGCAGGCTGCTGCTCTTCCCCGTTCTTGCCAGGCAGGTGTGCAGGTGAGTGGGCCGGGCCTGGCTGGCTGCTTCCTTACCTCCTGAACCTCCCTTTTCTCATTGGGAAATGATACAAGTGGCAGCACCGTCTCTTCCCAAATACCCTCGTGGGAGGGCTTCGATTGTCCCTGCCGGGGGGCGCAGTAATAAGGCAGCCAGGGAGAGCGGCAGGAGGCTGGGGTTGGGCAGGCTAGTTAGTCACTCGGGACCGCAGAACCTCGGGTCGCGCTCATTGAACACAAAGATCCACTAACAATGGTCGGGAACATGGAATAGAAGCCTGGGCCCCAGTTCACGCGGCTCCGCGGTTCAGGGGACGTGACTGGGCTCAGAGGGAGCCGCTGCTCACGGGGAGAAGTCGGGGGCCTGACGGAGGTTGGGGACCACAAGAGACCGGGGGCTGCGCGCCTAGCGCCCGGGGGACGGAAAGGACCGGACCGAGGGTGTGCGCGGAGAGGTGCCGGGGCGCGGCGGAGGTGACTGCTGAGCCGGGGCAGAGCGAGGGCCGGGGAAGGGCGGCCGAGGGTCCGATAGGACGACCCCGAAGCGGGCAGTGGACAGTGACCGGTGCTGTCAGACCCTCCCAGGGTTCTGGGCAGAGCACACGGGTACTACACCCCCGAGAATCGGCGGGGACTGCAACGAACTTCCGCGGCACATCCGGGATACAGAGCTGCGATCATCCGTAACCAGGCGACCGGCGGGCCGCCGCCAGGTGCGCAAGCGCAGTTCGCCGCGGCGGCCCGCGCTTGCGCGGTTGCCTTCCGCCGGTCTCCCAGCCTTCGAGCGCATCCCACGGCAGAATGGGAGGAACGCGCCTGCGCCGGGGCACCGCTCGGGCTCTCGGCCCAGCCGAATAGCCGTTCTCGGGGGGTGCGCCTGCCGGTGCCGGCCGTTCAAAACCGGTTCCTCACTTGGTTCTGACTGAAGAATCTCGACTCTTGTCACGTCCTAAGACGAGGAAAGACAGAAAGGGCCAGGACGACGTCCTGGGGCGGCCACCGCTCGCGGGGCCGGCAGGTGGGCGAGGGGGCGGGGCGAGAGGCGGGACCAGGGCCGAGCGGCGAGGGACTGGGCGCCGGCGGGGCGGGGGCGGGGCCGCGCCCGGCAGCGGCCGGGGCGGGGCTGGGGGGCGCGGCGCGCGCTGACGTCGCGACCGGACACGTCGGCGGCGGCGGCCGTACCGGAGCCGGATGTGGCAAGATGGCTGCTGCGGCTGCCGTTCCGGAGTTCGTCGCCGCCGGCGAGCCGGCTTCCGCCCGCGGCTCCTGAGTGGCCGGCGCCCACGGTCGCGGTGGGGCCGCGCGCCGGTGAGAGCCGGGGTCGGGCAGGGGGCGGCGGCCGGACCAGGCCCGGCCGAGCCCGGAGCGGACGGCGGGTCTCCGGGGCGCCGCCGGGCGGGCAGGACTGCGGGGCCGGCGGGCCGGGGACGCGGCCGGGCCCTTGGCAGGTGCTGCTGACGCTCGCCCTGGCCTTGGTGGCCTTCATGTAGGGTTGTTGGAATGGCTGGAAGATAGGCCGAACCTGCAACTTTTTAAAGAGTACAGACACAGAAAATAGCCGTGGAGCGTGTCCTTCGCTTCCAAGGTTCTGAAGTTTTGCCCTCGTTGGGTGTGAGATTTCTACCGAGCCCTGCTGGTGCTGAGACAGACTCACGCTTGGACCGAGGAGCAGCATCGTTGTCGGTAATTTCTTGGCAAGGTGGTAAAGACGTTGCACGGAGGTCGGGCCTTGCGTTTAGGTCAGCCGGTGAACCAGCCTGCGCTTTTTGGGATGGAAGTGTTACAGTAGAGCGTCTGGACACACCACAGCCATTCAAAATCAGTTTCTGCTGCTTCATCTAAAAGCACTTTGAATGGCTTGGAGACTGGCCAGAGTTGCTTATTAAGATTTCGATTTAAACACATATGATGCAGTTGTTAACCAGGAAGGTATATCCTCCTCACTTACGGCAAGAGCCAAACTAAGTGACTGACAGCTGTTCTCAGAGTGATACTTTTGCAGTTCTCAGCTTGACCTGCCACCTTGCAGTTTCCCCCCCACCTTTCTGAGGGTCCTGAGCGCTCTTGTCTTACACAGATAAGGCCAGAGGTAAACTCGTGCTGTTTTCTCGTTCCTTGTGACTCATTCACCCTTAACAGCAGTTGCTGCACGAAGTCTCAGAATTGAACTGGAAGTTTCCTTTAGGGTAGTGTGAATTTTAATAGGATTCCTTCTGCTGTAAACATCTTTCCTGCGTGTCCGTGTGTCCTTCTGGACCTTGTATCATTTTTAGCAGTGTTGTTTATAGATTCCCCCCTTCTTTTTCTTTAACATCTAAATGAATTTGGCTCTGTACTTAGAAAAGTTGGAGTTGGCATCTTTGTGTCAGGTGCCCCCTAATCTGACAGGGATGTCACTGTAGCCATTGCTGAGAGGGAGATGATAGGCAGAGGGAACTCGCTGGCAGGTGCTTCTGTCGGTTCGCACACAGCTCGAGGCAGCGGCTCTGGGAGCAGAGAAGTGTGCTTTAAGCCTATAGCTTCAGTAGCCGGGAACTTCTACTGAAGACAGGTTGTGCTCAAGTATGTCATACAGATACAAGGCACTTTGGTTGAAGGACTAGGTTTGTAAGTAATGTGCTTCCTGGAAGGGCAGCTGGTCTCCGAGACAGTCTGCCTTTTTAAAAGTTCAATAACCTGAGGACACAGAATGTCTTTGTAGACAGAATAAATGTCCCTGTGCTCAGTAGGTAAATGATAGGCAGTTGCATGGTTTTTGCATGGTTTTTTTCTGCTGGTGAATAGAGAAAAAATATCAAAAGAATAATGTTCATGTCACAAGATTGTCCCAAATGAAACTGGGCTTTTGCTAAATTAGAAAGTATTGATTGTGGCAGGGGATGCTACTCTGTAGGGAAGTGACAGTGTTTGCTTATAAAATGGTGTTTAGTCCAGGAGTTGAGAAAATAATAGTTTTTGCAAGTAAAACATTTACATACAGATCTGTGAAATTTAGATTCAGATAACATTTCCCTATTTAACAGTGGTAGGAATTAGGGAGGTCCCAGATTCACTGTGCGTAAATTTCCCAAGATTAAATCTGGTGGGGGGCCTTCGAAACTGTTGTGTTGATTCCCTGCTTAATTGATGAGAAAACTGGGTCGCAGAAGGATGAGTGGTGCCCTGGAGCCACTCAGCTGGGCATCCAGTCTTGCTCTCACGTGACACCTGATGAGTAAGTCCTCTAGGCCTGTGCTCTGTGGTTTTTTTGTTTGTGTTTAAGCAGCTTAGAATAGTTGAGGGTCTCCTGCAGAAGCCTTACAAGGAGGAAGTTGTGTCCTGGAAGGTGTCGGTGCACCTGTTTCACAGCTAAGAGGAAGAGCCCTGCTGTCCCACCCCTAGTCCCTGTGAAGCTGAACCATAAACATTCTTTAAGATGACAGCTTAGAAACAAAGTCGGCGATGCTGTTCCTGATATAGTCCATTAAATTTGAGTGAGCTTCAAAGTGCTTGTCAGTCGGAGAGGGTTACCTCTTGGCTGAAGAGTAGGTGTGGGCAGAAGTAGCAAATTAAGAAATCATAAGACCGGTTTTCAGGTAGGGATAGAGACTTAGGTTTGCCCAAAGCTTTGTACTCAAAGTACATCTCAAGTGCTTTCTTTGATCTGGTTATCAGGTTTTCAAGGACAGAAACATTGTACATCTGCAACAATGTGTGGATTGAACTTCAGAGTCCTACCACCATTTCTCCCTTTGTGTTTATTTTTCTCTGTGATTGGCTAAACTTCCTGTTTGTTTGGGAGCGCAGTGCTAGGGAAAAGGGCGGACACACAAGAAGGGATTTTGTAAAGGGATATACTTGAATTTTCATCTTAACAGTACAGATTAACTGTTCGAGGTTATACTCAATGTGTTTTATTTAAAAACAAAAAACACTGAGGAGGATTTTTGTGCCTTTGTTTTCTATAAAAGGTTCATTGGCACTGTGCCTATTACTGAAAATTTTTGCGTCAAGTCAGTTGGTCAGTTTTGAAGCTGCTTTAAGTGTACTTGGGATCTTCCTCCGAGGCATAGTTGCTACGGCTCCGGCAGTCCGAGGCAACTTGTTCTGCTAGTGGCATCCAGGCTGCCACATAAAAAACAGACCCCTTCCATGGCGGATAAAGGGCATTCTAGAGGAAGATACTTCAGGTATTTATTCTTCAACTCGTATTACTCTGTGCTTTGTAATACTCTCTCATTAAAGAAAACAGAGGAGCAAATTTCAAGATTTAAATTTGTTTTCCTTCCAAGATTTAAAATTAACCTGTATGACAAGAATGATATGCAGTCTTAGTAGAGGCGTTGGCTCTTTCTGGATCTGGTGGCCGCTGGCGGGAATACGTTGAGGTGCACACCTGGTAGCACCTCAGCCTGGCAGTTAGCTCCGCCTCTTCCCCCGTCCCCCGGCTTGGCGGGGCCATCACAGAGGCAGCTGACCTTCCGCGTGGGCGCCGAGCAGAGCTGTGGGACTGAGTCCCAGAGAAGGGCAGTGACTCTGCTGAAGTCACTGCACGAACTCAGGGCACAGCTCGCTTCTGTGCTCCCGCTGACACTCCTGGAGGGTGGGGGTGATGTGTCCCTTGGGACTTAAATGACCAAAACTATGTTGTCTTTTTCTTTTTTCTTAGTTTTTCTGTTTGCAGCCAGGAACTTGATTGTATGGGGTTTATTGGTAATTCATTCTTTTTCTCTTTCAGTCACAATTAAGGAGAACCTGTATCCTGCTTCTTTCTGTGAGCAACATCTAATCGTGCAAGGGAGCAACCATGCAGCCGCCGCCCCAGGCAGTCCCGTCAGGCATGGTTGCGCCACCTCCAGCCAGGAATCCTCAGGGCACGTTCTGGTCTCGCAGTCCATATAGGAGACAGGCGAACAATAACGCTCCCGTGGCTCCGATAACTTGCCCGTTGCAGCCGGTAACGGATCCGTTTGCTTTTAGCAGACAGGCGCTCCAAAATACTTCACTGGGCAGTTCGTCCAAAATCAGCCTGCCCCTTTTGCAAGGCCCAGCCGCACAAGCGCCTCTTCAGCACTCTGGTCTGCCTGTGCCTCCCGCAGATGCCAGGGACAGCTTGCAAGGACCCCAGCAGCCTCTGCTGGGGCCTCTGTTGCAGCCCAGAACAGAGGCTAGTCTGCTTACTGGCATGTCGAACCCTTCAGCTTCACCAGGGCCTGAGTCGAACAGGAGTGCTGAGGTCACTCCCAGCTCAGAGCCCGAAGTTCAGACTCCACTGTACCCTTCTCAGTACATTCCAGGGGCGGGTCCTGGGAACCTGCCTGGGCCTGACAGAGCCCTGAGCAGGCAGAACCCGCACAACACCGCTGTGGCCCCCTCAGCATCCTCTGTTTTCTCTCAGCCTCGTCATCAAGTGCCAGGGCAGTGGGGACCTGGGCAGGGAGGCTCACAGCCCCCAGGCCAGCAGTATCGGCCCCACTCCGAAGGACCTGTTCCAACCATGGCTCCCCACACCTCCAGCGCTTCCCGCTTCCCTGCTCTGTCCAGCCCACACCAGGGTCCTGGCCACGAGCAGCACACTGCGCTGGTGTCTTTATCAGGACCCCGGGCCAGTGAAGGGAGAGATGAGGCGGCCTACCTGCAAAGTGGAAGCCATTCAGCAAATGACTTTGATCCTGAGAATGTATTCAGGTGGAATTCCAGAGCTGGGAATACTCGGGCAAGCCAGGAATTCAGGGCGCATCCAGGAGTGAGTAAAGACCAGTTGCCAGACCCTGCTCTTGCTAACCCCCTCTCTCAGGGAAATAGCCCAGAAAGCCATTTGCACTACTCCCAGGGGACAGCGGCAAGCCGGGCCCTACCAGATGTGGACTCGGGAGCTCTTTCCATGTTTTTCCAAGGGGGAGAGACAGAAAATGAGGAGAATCTCTCCTCTGAAAAACCAGGCTTTGCGGGTCAGTCTGACTTTGACGGTTTCTCCCCAAGCCCTGGACTTGGTTGTCCTCCTGCACACATGGGAGCAGGTGTCGTTTATCAGGCATTCCTCAAAGGTTCCAACGCTGAGACCGTGAAACAGGGAGACCTGCAACCTTATTTTTCTCCATCTGCAGGTGTCCAGCCTGATAAACCAACCAGTAAAAATGCCGCTGTGGGTGTGGGGTGGGGCACAGCGAGTGTGGGGGCTCAAGACGCTCACGGTCCCCACTGTGAGAATGTTGAGAACCTAGAATTCATACAGAATCAAGAAATTCTGCCAAGTGAGCCCCTAAGTTTGGGTCCTTCCTCCCCAAGTGATCCGCTGAGATGTGGGCCCCTCCCTGGGCTGGCTGTCCCTAGGCTCAGTGTTGCCAGCCATGCTGGAAGTGAGGGCCCAAATCTCGAGGCCCTGGATGCGACGCTGCACCCTGTGCGACCTGATAGCATGTCATCAAGTCACAGCAGCAAGAGCCACAGGAGTCTCCCAGGCACAGCCAGACCACAAGACCTGGTAGGCACCTTCATTCAGCAGGAAGTCGGAAAGCCTGAGGATGAGGCCACGGGCAGCTTTTTCAAGCAGATTGATTCCTCTCCCGTGGGAGGTGAAGGTGAGACCACCGCAAGCCAGAGTCACCACAGCAGCTTGTCCCAGCCCTCAACCCCAAGCCCCCCAAAACCTGCGGGAATATTTCAGACAAGCGCAAATAGTTCTTTTGAACCTGTGAAATCCCACTTGGTTGGAGTGAAACCAGTCGAGGCAGACTGTGCCAACGTGGTGGGGGAGGTGAGGGGAGCCCCTGCCCAGCAGAGGCACAGACCGGTCGCCGCACTGCCCGATTCCTCCCCTGGCAACCTGGAGCAGCCGCCGGATGACATGGAGACCCTCTTTGCTCCCCAGCTCTTTCCTCTGCCTCTTACCACACCTGCAGAGGCTGCTCTGGGGCTTCCACATGCCAGTGGGCCTCTGTTGGAGACTGTGCTGCCCACCCCTGAGAAAAGGCCCTTGACCAGGGCTCAGGGAGCCATGAAGTGTGAGAGTCCAGCAACGACTCTGTGGGCACAGAACGAGCTGCCAGATTTTGGAGGCAATGTCCTCTTGGCCCCAGCCGCTCCCGCACTGCACGTGCCCGCACAACCGCAGCCGAACGAAGTGATTCAGCCTCCAGACGAGAGCGGGTCTGTGGCACGGCCACAGCCGGCAGGCTCTGGCCCACCTCTGCGGAACGTGGATGGCATAAGCACTTCTGAGAACCTTGAGAACCCCCCCAAAACAGGAGAAGAGGAGGCCCTCCCATCACAGGCAAGTTCTGGTTACGCCAGTCTGTTATCCTCGCCACCCACAGAATCTTTGCAAGATCAACCAATCTTGATTGCCCAGCCTGATCACAGCTGTAACTTGGCTCAGCCCATTAATTTTCCTGTGTCCTTATCGAGCCCTAATGAGAAGAACCAGTCCTGGAGAGATGCTTTGGTGGGGGATAAATCCATGCTAAGCAGCCGGGCTGATGAGGGTGATTCTGGAGAAAATGCTCCTTTGTCTGGGATTCCAGCCGGCTTGCTGATCTGCTCGCCTCTGCCAAACAATGTTGCCCAAAGTAATTTTCCCCAAGTTTCTGGTACTTCTGAACCAGTGTCTAATCAACCTACTAATTTGCTGGTTCAGCCGCCACCTCACCCAGCTCCAAAGAACTTAGTTCCAGAAAGTCAGAAGATTCGTAATGCTGAGAACATGCTTCCTGAGGTGGTTAGTAGCGCTGCTGGTTGCACCGGTGTGATGCTAGTGCTGCCTGCAAACAATACCTCGGTACCCGAAAGTAATAAGGCCCATCTCTCCCGTGAGTGGGAAGAAAGTCCAGGAGCCTCAGACTTGACGTTAAGTAGGACTCTGGAAAATCCTGTGGTGATACATAGCCTGGCCCACTCTGACGGCCCACCTTCTTGTCAGCAAACCATCACCAATCATCCCAAACAACCGGGCCCTGGGGCGCATAACCCAGACCATTTCTACCAGCAGGTGACAAAAGATGCGCAGGACCAGTGTGGCCTGGATAGAGCCTCACAGGAGCCCAAAGCGGCGTTTTCAGAATCTTCAGACCCAGGAAGTCCAGCACGGGGACAGCCCCCACACCCAGTCCAGCCACCTGCAAGTCCAGCTCCAGTGGACACAGGTCAGCAGCCACTGCCTCGGCCGCCTCGGTCGTCCAGCGCATCGGTTGTGTCCACCAGCTCGAGCCAGGCAGCTGTGCGGTCAGACCAGCAGTGGCTGCCACCACCGCCTCCAGACTTGGCGTCCTACTACTACTACAGACCCCCGTATGACGGCTACCTGTCCCAGTACCCTACACTGTACCCACTGGATCCTGGCACAGCTCCCCTCTATTACCAGGTAGGATTGAGCTGTTGGCCTGTGGAACCCTCTGGCCGGTGGTTTCTTTCTCTGGGGTTGTGCTCCTTGGCAGGGTTTTGCTGGGCAGTTCAGAAGGGACCCATGAACGCCAGTTCACACACCGCCTCATGGGGGCAGTGCTCCCAGTCTCAGGGCCTGTTCTGCGAAGCACGGCCCGCCTCTTGGACCTTCACGCTGTGTGGTCACTCGTTGAATCGCATAGATTTCCTGCCTAATGTTTGTGGAGTCCAGCATCCACCAGGTGCTGTGACAAAGCCCTTTGTGTCCTGTCATACCCGCCGGCTCTGCAGAGCCAGAGTTTTGAGTCAATGACCCTGGGGATGCTGGGACAGCCTCTGCAGCCCTCTGTGCGGTCTGACATCAAACACCACCCCAGAGGCAGCAGGAAAGCTGGTCCTGTAAGCCCCGCCTTCAGCGGGGGGCCCGCCCTCTGCACGGGAAGCTCGCTCTTGCCTCCTTCATGCGATGCAGGCTCATGGACATTGTTCACGTTAAGTTCTGTTTGCTCCTGCATTAGTTTGAAAAGGCGTGGTCCAGGTGCACGTGTGGGTTACCAACTGCCCTTCCCCTTTAGTCCTGCCTCAGCGTCCCCCAGGGTCGGCTGAGGTAGAAGGTTGTGGACTCACGACGTTTGAAACCTACTGACTACAGCAGGTGGCAGTGCACGGGACGCCTGTGGGCAGAGGGAGGCAGGGCGGCGGTGCCCCACTTGTGGGTTTTGACCATCTTGGTGTATGTGTGAACACATCTAAGTACTGAGGCCGGCAAAGTCTCTCCTCAAAGGGGCTCCACAGACTTGTGTTTCCATGGGAGGGAATTAAGATCTGCTGAGAGCCCAGGGGTGGCTGGCAGGGCATGAGGGGGCCGTGTCCCTGCTGTGGGTCCTTTGAACAAGCAGCCACTTCCGCATCCCAGCAATTCCAGCCAGGAGCCCAGTGTCACTTCTTTGGAAGCCCACTCCCTTCTGCCTTTCTGGGTCACTGTGGTCTCCAGGAGTCAGCAGAGCAAACCCATTTTACGTGATTTCTTATTCTCTGCCAGGGGATGACAGAGAGTCAGGCTCTTAGACACGAAGGACAGGTTCTAGCCATGCCTGGGGTACCTCACCTGTGTCAGGTCCTCACGTGGCCACTGCTTAGGGACAGAGCTGTGATGATGTGTCAGTTTGTAACAGGCTGGAAACCTTGTGGAGATAAAGCAGGACCCTCTTTTTGGGGTGTTGTAGCTTTAAGGCCCATTCCAATGGAGCCCTGGCTCTTTCACTTCCCTGACTTGGTATCTGGAGCAGGATGCAAGCTTGTGTTGCGGCACCTGTGTGGGAGACCTTGGGGCCGAAGCTTGACGGAGCCCTTGGGGCTTGCCTGCTGACGTGCTGACCAGCTCCTGAGCAGGGCTGGGCGGGCCACTTTAGGAAGGGTTTTGTTTTCTCGGTGTTCTGCTGTTCTACTTCAAGGAAAAGCCTCACCCAGCACTCCTCCTGGAGGGCTGTCACCTACACTGTTCAGAGCTGGCACCAGCTGCTTGGTAGAATGGCTCTTCATTGGTATCTAATGTTGCGCAAACCCTTCTTCCAACAGGATATGTACAGCCTGTATGAACCCAGATATAGGCCCTATGACAGTGCTGCGTCCACCTATGCCGACAACCACCGCTACCCTGAGCCCGAGCGGCCCAGCTCCCGGGCAAGCCACTGCTCAGACCGGCCAACTGCCAGGTGATTGATATTTGTGTTGCTGGCTATGGTAGTAACTTACTGGTTTGAAAAAGACTGTTTTTGTGAAGAGTTACATAAATCTGCTTAATACGTGTTTACATTTTATCAGCAGGGGCAGATTGCAGGATGCATTTTTTAAGATGAACGAATTAAGTACACTACAACACAATGACAGCTATGTTGTCTGCTAGCATTTGGTTGGGCCAGACCCCACGTGAGACCACCAGGAAGCCACCACTGCCCTCATGCTTGGTTCCTCCCCAGACCAGGCCATTGTCCCACTGCGGAGGCACACGTGGCTCTGGTGGTTGGCTGACCGAATATTCAGGGCCCTTAGGCCTTAGCAGCTCCTCCCCACTGCGGGTCACAGGACTGCGCTCTTGGGCCGCCTGAAAGCCTGCACTATCCCCAGCACCGCCTGCCATGCTGGCAGACCCCAATGTCTCTGTCCTGAGTGTCTCCCTTTTGCAATGCCAGGTGAGGGATTTTGAAAGAGCCCTGGCACACACCTCGAGCTGAGTAAGAATTTAAGGACGTCCGAGTCCTGCACTTGGACGTCACCAGGGCCGGAAAGGAGTGACGGTGTGGGGCCCTGAGCTTGTCTGGCCCCGCCTGCCCTTCCGAGCCTTTTGCCTGCGGCCTCTCCTCAGGCTGGAGGGGCGGCCGGTCTCGCAGGCCCAGGGTTTGCTACATGGGATGTGGCAGCTTAAACCCAGGAGGGAGAAGGTCTGGGCAGCTCCCTGCACTGACTCTTCACGTCTTTGATAACTTGTCTGGGGACGCGGCTCTGCCTCTGGGAGCCCATGCCTGCTCAGCTGGCCTCTCTGTTGCTCCAGAGGACACACTGACCTGCCTGTAGCCCAGCGTGCTAGGCGCCTTCTGTGAGCAAGCTTCTGGGGCCTTGGCTCCTGTGTATCGCCCTGTCCCCTGAGGAAGTGGGGCGTGAAATCAGAAGAAGCATTCTGATTCAGTGAGAGTGATGGGCAGCTGCTTCTTAGAGCCTGGATGGAAATAGAAGAGGGCGGAGCCAGGCATCTTGCCATTCTGGTTTTCCCTCCACTTGCCCACCCGCAGGTATACATAGCAATTAATTTCAAGAGGCTGGAGATGGCTTCATGCTTGAGAAGACACCTGACCAGTGGCCACATTGGGTTACACGGGAGTGGTCCTGTCACCCTGCTCACAGCGTTTGGGTCTTCTCAGTGTCCTTGCACCTGTTTGTGATAGTGCAGCCTCTGCTTTCTCCTGCCTCTCTGGGGGTGCGTGGCATGTGCACGCCTGCTCTGGGGGAGTGCATGGCGCGTGCGCCCCCACGTGGGTGTTTAGCATTCATCTGTCTTCCTTGTGCCCAGTGTGACCTGGTCCCTGTAGGAGTTGCTCCAGGTGCAAACATGCCTGTCGTTTGTGATCCTACTTCCGCTGGTAGACAAGTGGGGTTGGGGTTGGGCAGCAAGGGGGCAGTGTCTCCCAGCTCTGCAGCCCCTCTCGTCATTTTCCTGGAGTCCCCAATGGCGTTTGCGGGCATTCCCCTCTGTGGGTAGACGTGGCCTGGAGTGCTCTCCCAGGGCGCCCGGTGCCAGGTGGGTGTTCCTGTGGCTGAGCTGCTGGAGGTGCCCTTGTTACAGGCTGGCCTCAAGAGACTGCACTGGCCCAGCCCTCAGGCTGGCTGAGAGAGGTGTCCCTGTAGGGGCATGAGAGAAACCACAGTTTAAAGAGCAAACATCCTCTAAAACTTGCTCATAGAAAGGAAAAAGGCTCTTAAGCCCTTCCAAGAGTCTCACTGCCCCAAATGTCTGGTGCCTGGTCTTCCTGCCAAGTTCCAGTGAGATTCAGAGCCGAAGGTTGGTCTGTGACACTGGCCTTGACCAGGCTTATTTCGCATCCTATGCCAGGCAGCTCCAAGGGACACATGGGGCCAAGCCAGCAGTAGCCCGGTGCCTGGTGTACTTCATCCTCCCAGAGGCCAGGGCGCAATCTGTGTACAGGGCGTTGCAGTAGGCTGGCTCAGTGCTTTTTGCTACCATTAAGCACAATATCAAAAACTTGAGAACCTGCTTGGCATTGGTGTTTATGGACTACAGCACTGAGAACCCAGAAAAGGCTCCATTCCTTTTTTTTTTGTTTGTTATCATTAATCTACACTTACATGAAGAACATTATATTTACTAGGCTCCCCTCTTCACCAGGTCCACCCCCCACACCCCATTACAGTCACTGTCCATCAGCGTAGTGAGATGCTGCAGAATCCCTACTCATCTTCTCTGTTACACAGCCCTCCCCCTGCCCCACCTCCACATTACACATGCTAATCGTAATGCCCCCTTTCTTTTTCCCCCACCCTTATCCCTCCCTTCCCCCCCACCCTCCCCAGTCCCTTTCCCCTTGGTAACTGTTACTCCATTCCTGGGTTCTGTGAGTCTGCTGCTGTTTTGTTCCTTCCGTTTTTTTCTTTGTTCTTTTACTCCACAGATGAGTGAAATCATTTGGTACTTGTCTTTCTCCGCCTGGCTTATTTCACTGAGCATAATACCCTGTAGGGCTCCATTCTTTTATGCTGAACGCCACTTTAGTTCTTTAAGGGATGGATTTTAATAAGCTGTATGGTAGAGAATCCCATAATCTCATCATTGCTATTCTTTTGGATCTCCTGATTAGAATTTTTCACAACCAAAGTGTTTTGATGACTGCCTGTTGCTATGGTTACAGTTTGTACTGGCTGATAGCTTGTCACATTTCAAAAAATAGGCAATTGTGTTCTACAGCACTGTGTGTTTTTCAGGCACAGTTACCCTGAAGGTCACTATAACACCAGGGGTGGATGGAGCAGTCAGAGTGACCACTATGCTAGCTGGTACTCCAGCCAGTATGATTACGGAGGTACGTCTGGGTGCTGAGACAGCTGGCGACTAGCAGGTGTGGGTCTGGGTCCCGGCGTAGGCTGGAGCACCGCTCTGGGAATTTCTCAGGAAAGCTTCCCTTCCATTAGTCCCTGTATGTTTTATCCAAGAGCCAAGGTAGTTGAAAATAATCTGCATCTGGAAGTAATTATATTGCTATTTTTCATTAAGAAATTACATCTTCACTGTAGCATTATTGTGTCTTTATCGTGTTAGCAGCATTCTTTGATTTTCTAGCAAAGCATAATTATCGGTGATTCTAGGGCAGCCTGTCCACATGCGACTGTGTCATTGATTAAGGTAGAAAAACTGAGAATCCAGCTCCTCGTCACACTGGCCACGCCTGACGTGCTCCCGGGCCGCTTGCGGCTGGTGTAGGGTGCTCTCACCACCACTGCCGGTGCGGCCCCGCCGGTTTCAAGGCTGTCCTGTCGGGCAGCATGACATCTGGGCAGCCTGGCCCCGCAGGTCGCTTCTGTCCGGCTGTGTCCTGTGTGTTCAGGGCAGTGGAGGGTCCTGGCCTGCAGCCCTTGGTAGCCTGCTTGGCCGCCTGTCCTCCTTTTATATCTGCACTGCACATGGTTGCCAAAAATGGTACATCCTGTTTGTTTGTAACATGAATGTGCTTTTTTAAAGTAATCTTTTAGTTTTGAGAGTATTTCTTAAAGCTTTCTGAACCACATTGGAGAGAAGGGATCTGTAAAGTTTGTACTCATATAGAGTTAACTCATCAAAAGTAGTAGCTGTGAACAAAGAATTCAGCAGAGATGTTTCTCAGTCCTTTTTTTCTTTCTGATCATGTACATCGAGAGGAAAAACAGCCCGTGGCTGTTAGGTGTCACACATACAGGCAAGACACAGTGGGTCTTCCAGTACCTCACAGTTGACGTGCCCCAGGGTTCGGCTGATTCCTGAGAGGAAGGTTTGGGTCCTCTAAGAGCCTCGAAGCGCTCTTCAGTCCTGGGGTGGCGTGGTTTGTCCAGCGAAAGCCAGAGTAGATCTCGTTCTGATTGTTTTATTAACCCCTCACTTCCAGATTCAGGCCACTGGGATCGGTACCACTATGGTTCTCGATTCAGGGATCCCCACACCCATGACCGGAGGTACTGGTATGATGCTGAATACGATCCATACAGGAAGGAGAACTGTGCTTATGGTGACAGGTTGGTAAATACGCCCTGGTGAGGAGGGTTGGTCCTAAGTTGGAGCTGCCCTCTTGGGTTTCTGCCCTTGTGTCTGTAATGTACCCAAGAGTGACGCTTGTGTTTGGGTTCCTGGTGAGCAGCTGACATTGAGGGCACTGTCGGAAAGTGGAGGGTGTGCGCACCCTGCTGTGCTTTCTGTTTTGGGCTGCTGGGAGAGAGCCAGCCTCAGGATGGGCACCCTGGGTCAGCGTATTCTGCTGCCCTGTCTGCGAGGTGTGCCACGCCGGGAGGAACCTGCAGCCTGCTTCTCTAGGTCTTAAGGCACAGGGTTTGAGCTTGGGTTCGGCATGCGTTGGCTCTGTGTGAGGGGGACTCTGACCAGTGTCCTTCAGGTCAATACTCAGGCTGCCAGAGGGTGGCAGGCAGGGTGGCCTCAGAGGGGCTTGACTGGTGAGCAGTGCTGACTGCCCCCACCAGGCTCGAGAAATACGAGGACCACTGGAGGTACGACCCTCGCTTCACTGGGAGCTTTGATGACGACCCCGAGCCCCACAGGGACCCTTCTGGGGAGGAGGCAGACAGGGGCAGTGTGCGCAGCGGGGCCAGCGTGCAGAGCCGCCGCAGCAGCTTCAGCGCCCACTCTCAGCAGGTGGGTGCACTGCCATGCAGAGACCCTGGCGTCCTCTGCCTCCTTGTTCTGGCAGTGGGCCTAAAGTCCGACCTGCATTTCTGGTGGACTAATGCCCACCCCCAACCCCTGTTTGCTGTGTGTTTCCTAAGAGCCAGGTTTACAGAAATCACCACGTGACTGCTGGTTCGTATGAGGCCCCTCCTCCACCAGGCTCCTTCCATGGCGAGTATGCCTACGGTGCCTACAGTGATTTCAGCAGGGCCCAGGCCTTCCCAGAGTACGACTACCCTGTGGAGGCCAGCTGGCCCACCATGGAGCAAGGTGCGTGTGATCAAGGCCCTGCACACTCCCAGGTGCCATGGGGTGCCAGGCCACGCCATGGGGCGGCTTGGCTTCACTAGCCTGTGATGGGGCAGTGAGGTGTGACTGGTGGGGATTGGTGATGGCCCAGCCCAACTGTTCCTGCAGAGTAAGGACCCCTGTTCATAGCATGCCCGTCCTAAGTGGCAGCTTGTCCCAGTGGGCTGCCAGCATCCCTCAGGCTGTAGTTCGGCTCAGGAGCCTGAGGGCTGCCCTGCCTGGCCATCGTGTCCATTTCAGGGTGACTCTGAGTATAGGCTGTGGCCACGTTCTTGGGCAGAGTGTTGTCGTGTTCCTAAGGGCTGACCACACAGATAAGCAGTTTTTGGAGAAAACTTTCCAATTCCCCTTGAAAGACTCGTTCATAGACAGGTGGTGCATTCTCGATTCCCTTCTGATGTGTCTGCTCAAGTGCTATTTCTTAGAAAACTTTGAAATTATTTGTAAGGTTCTAAAATATAACAATGGACCTTCTTTCTTAATGTGTTATTTAAGTCAAAATCTTGCTTCTTGGCCTATGCTGTCTTCCCCCTCATTCTCGGGGGTGATCTGTGATGCCCAGTCCGCACTGGGCCTGTATAGAAAAGCTGGGGTGCAGAGCTGCCAGGAGAGGTGTAGATGCTGTCCTCCAGTGAAAAATGCACCCTGGGGTGTTTCCAAGGAGTTTTTCTTTTCAGAAGAGAGTGGTCCTTGTTCTTAATTTTTTAAATATTTTTCTGACATACTCTTAGATTCTCCTTTTTAGTAGGATGTTTAACAGTTACTAACTTCCAGTTGAAGGTCTACTTACTGTGATTGATCTAATTTATTGTTTCAGTTATACAGGCATCTCAAAAATCTCAGCTGTCGATGTAGTTCAGAAGCAGTAAAAGTGACAAGCTGATGGTTTCTTCTTTGCTGTTAATCGTAGTTCCATCAAGACCGACTTCTCCTGAGAAATTCTCTGTGCCTCATATCTGTGCCAGGTTTGGTCCTGGCGGTCAGCTCATTAAAGTGATTCCAAATCTGCCTTCGGAAGGACAGCCTGCATTGGTTGAAATCCACAGCATGGAGGTAATCCCGCAGCATGGGTGGGCTTTCTGCATCGCGGTGCGGCCGCTCCTGTGCCCTCCGAGGACCTTACAGTCTCCCATCTCCAGCCTCTGTTGGAGCTTCCATCTGGCTGAAGGTTCTCGGGAGCCTTTTTCTCCCAGAAGTCAGTTAGACTTGGCTCTATTGCATATTCATTTTCTGTCTTTAGCCCCTTTTCTGATTCTGGGGGGAGGACCCTATTCATATTAATTTTGCTGGTGATTTTCAGTAGTGACTGAGGTCCTTCTGATCTTGGGGCAAGTTGGGGCTGCTGCTCGCGGCTGGCATGGCACCTGTAACATGGCCCCCCAGTGGGGCTCTTCTGTCACATGTTTTGGGGTCACATGTATTGGGACCCTGCTTCAAAGTTTGGGGTGATAAATGGATCTCACTGCTTAAAATGAGGTCTGAGGATAACTGCTTGGCCCCGACATGTCCATGCTTCGTGAGGGAGGGCCTCTCCCCCTTCACAAAGGGTGGCTGTCCCCAGGGACAGCACCTGTGATGTGTCTGCCCACGCAACAGCAGACGGGGTTGGTGCGTGCCTGCCCCCACGAGCGGCTCTCTCTGTGCCCACCCCTGCCCCTCAGACCCTGCTGCAGCACGTACCGGAGCTGGAGGAGCTGCGCTCGTTCCCAGGCCCTCTTGGCAAGTATGTACCTGGCGGAAGGGCCCTCGCCGTGTGAGTCTGCAGTCACTGTGCCTGGCATTGCAAGTGCAGGGGCTGCTGTTGACTGCGTGTGTGTTGTTTCAGGGATGACACCCATAAAGTGGATGTTATCAGTTTTGCACAGAAGAAAGCTACAAAATGTTTGCAGAATGAAAACTTAATTGACAAAGAGTCTGCAAGTCTTCTTTGGAATTTTATTGTTTTGTTGTGCAGACAGAATGGGGTACGTTTCTCATTGGCCGTTAGTCCTGGGAATCCTTTGGGAAGTGGGAGAAAGGCAGAGCTTGTGGCTTGGGGAGACGGGAGGTTTGGGCCCACTCCTGGGTCGTCAGGGAGTCTAGCCTGCCTGCGTCAGCTCCGTTGTCAGAGCTGCAGTTTGTGCCTGTGGCTCGCTAATGTGCCATCTGAGGAGACCTGTTCAGGGTCCTTGCCTGACTGGGACTGGGACGTTTTCTCCATAGTAAAGCCTTCTATTCTGCTCCCTGCCCCTGCTGGCCCTTGCAGACCGTGGTGGGAACCGATATTGCAGAACTCTTGTTACGAGACCACAGAACAGTGTGGCTTCCTGGGAAGTCACCCAATGAGGCCGACCTGATTGATTTCACTAACGAGGCCGTGGAGCAAGTGGAGGAGGAGGAGTCCGGCGAGGCCCAGCTCTCTTCTCTCACTGACAGCCCGGCAGCCAGCACCAGCACGCTCGAGAAAGAGACCGAGAGGTTCAGAGAGCTGCTGCTTTATGGCCGTAAGAAGGTGAGCAACCCCAGAGCCTGTGGGACGCCAGGTGGGTCCCGGTATCTGCTGTGGGCGGCTCGGGCCGGGGTGTAGCCATGGGAGGAGGACAGAACCCTGCCCTCGGGAGCCTCAGCGTCTTGACTATAATGTGGCACTATGGGTTTTGTTGTTCTGTGAAGTGTCCTGCACCTCATATGTCATTTCATTTCTGTGAAGATGCTAACAGTGGTTTTCTTGTAAATACTGCTGCGTGAAAGACTTGCAGGTTTGATTTTCAGTCGTTCAGCAGTCAAGGGCATTTACTGAGCTTTGCCCCTGCTGTGTTGTGTTAAGTCCTGGGGTAGACCATGCATGAGATGGAGTCACCCACTCTCGCATGGCTAGATACAAGGCCGCAGTCTCTTAAATGAGGTGGGAGCATGTGCCCCCTGTGAACTGGTCAGATGCCTGGGGCAGGGAGGCAGTGTTGGCAGGATTGGAGGAAGAGAGAGCACCGGAACCTTGCCCAGGAGCCACACTCTGGTGGTGCAGACAGAGGAGCTCCAGGCTGAGAGAGTGCACTGGGGCCGAGCCACGGGCTGCTGGCTCAGGTGGCAGGGGTCCAAGAGGCCTTGTTCTTGGTACTGCTCTGTCACAATAAGCTGAGCTCACATTTGATGAATAATAATTTCAACAGGGATGTTTCACTGCTGATGGAAATGGGCTGGACTATTTGGTTTGATGAATGTTGGCCTCCCAGTCTGGGGTTTGCTGCAGGGTGTCCCACGTTACTGCAGATGAGGTGGCTTCATTCAGAAGGATTCTGTCCATCCCTTGGGAAGGTACTTGCAGGGGCCTGGTGCCATTCTGGAATGGGGCTGTCGGTGTTTCTGTGGCATTCCTCGCAGTGGCGAGGACAGTCTGCAGACACCAGTGCTGTATGTGATTCGTGGGTTCTCTTTACACTGCACGAGGACACACAGTCCTGCAGCCCCTGTACTCTGCAGCTGGGGAAGAATGAGAAGCTGGCCGCCTGCTCTGAATGGGGAGCACTGGGGAGGCCTTCGCTGCCCATGCTGGTCAGCTGGGGCCGAGCCCTCCTTCTCCGAGTGCTTCCTTGCGGACCTCATCACTCTGATGGTTGGTGACCACTGGGATGCTTTGCAGGATGCACTGGAGTCAGCGATGAGAAGCGGCTTATGGGGTCACGCCCTGTTACTCGCAAGCAAGACGGACAGCCGTACACATGCCAGGGTCATGACCAGGTAAAGAATCTTGCTGTGTACATGGGACGTGGCTGGCTAGTGCCGCCACAGTACTGCGTCACTGGGCAGCTCAACTGAGGCCCGTTCTTATCCTAAGAGCTGCTGTGCTGTCAGACGCAGAATTGCTTTGGCCTCTTCTTTGGGTTGTATTGCTGAGGGATAAAGAAAATTTACTGCATGATTTTTAGTTTTGTGAAATCTCGGTGAATTTCCTAGTCTTTATCTCATAGAGCTTTTTTGTAATACTGAGATGGGGGCACCTGGCCTAGGTTTAAGCATCAGTCCAGTTACTCAAGAGGCTGAGAGGAGATTGGGCTAACTAACATTTTGCGTTCTGTTTTCTAAACCAGGCCAAGTCATATCTCTCTCTGTCTACCTAGGTTTGCCAACAGTCTTCCAATCAACGACCCTTTGCAGACCGTCTACCAGCTGATGTCAGGGCGGATGCCTGCAGCGTGCACGGTCAGTGTGGAGATGGGCCCACTCACCAGGGAGCTTGCTGCAGGGCGAGATCCACTTCAGGCTCTCAGGCCTGGCCCGTCCCGCCCTCACTTCCCCTCTGTGTTCATGGGGCTTTGCTGTTGCGAATGAGAAGGACTCTTCCCAGGATAAGGGTTTGCTCTGTTTTCTGCTGCCTGGTTTTAGTGTTGTGGGGACGAGAAGTGGGGAGATTGGAGGCCGCACCTCGCTATGGTTCTATCCAACCTGAACAACAACATGGATGTGGAGTCCAGGGCGATGATCACGATGGGCGACACCCTAGGTAGGTCGGGGTGTTACTTGTCCGGCTCGTCTCGGTGTCCCCTGTCGGCCGTGGTTATGTCAGGAGAACTCTCAGTAACCGCGGCCGGCCTGCTTCATGTCGCTTCAGCTTCGAGGGGCCTCCTAGATGCCGCGCACTTCTGCTACCTTATGGCCCAGGTTGGATTTGGGGTTTATACAAAGAAAACCACAAAACTTGTCTTAATCGGATCAAACCACAGGTGAGAAATTGAATAAACAACGGCAGCTGCTGTCTGTTAGAGAGGACACACGCCCTCCTCTAGCGGAGCCCAAGGCTGGGGCCTCGTCTTTATCAGGCAGTGTGACACGCTTCTGGATAACTTACTCAAGGATTAAAATCACTCATTTCCTCAACAGTTTGCCATTTTTAAAGTTTGCAACCAATGAAGCTATTCAGAGGACAGAAGCCTATGAATACGCCCAGTCCCTTGGGGCACAGACGTGTTCCTTACCCAGTTTCCAGGTAAGAGGGAGCCACGCTGGCCCCTGGTTCTTCTGACTTGAGGTGGCCAGTGCTGGCACGGCTCCAGTCGTTTGGGGTTCTTCTTATGCAAAAAGCAATGAAGTGTTTTTGGGGTTCTTGGGGAGACATTTGATCTGTAATGCTTGAGAGCTAAACCTTGCTGAATTGAGGGTTTTGTATTTGATTCTTTACATTTTAGATATTAATAACGTTGAGTATTTGCTTTCAAGTTCCTTTCTGCTAGCTATCTTTAGTATCATGGGGCGTTGCCTGAGCCAGGATTTTGTGTGTGTTGGTGTATAAAACATGAGTGTGACAAAGCACTAGGAACAGAGGGTCCCAGTACCATTTACAGCTGTGTGAGAAGCGGCTGTCCCAGAGTGCTTGCTGAGCTGTGACCCTCCACGGTCTGGGTTCTGGTGGCTCTATTAAGGGCATTGAAGAGAAAAAGTGAGTTTGTCAGCAGCTTAGCTATTTACTTTAATCTTAACTATCTCGGGGAATGGGGCTAGTACCATTGAGGGAGGGTGCAGTGGACACAGGTGAAACACGCAGAGTCCAGAACTCCCATTGGGTAGGGCAGCTGCAGGGTGACGGAGGCCACAGGGTGGCACAGCTTTGCTTGTATGTTTTAGGTGTTCAGATTCATCTACTCCTGCCGCCTGGCTGAGATGGGGCTTGCCACCCAGGCCTTCCATTACTGTGAAGTCATTGCCAAAAGCATCCTGGCACAGCCACACACACACTCCCCTGTGCTGATCAGCCAGCTGGTCCAGGTAACACCCGCCTGAAGGGCTTTCACGTGGCACTTGACTTGCGCGGAGAAAGCATGGCCTAGCAGGACTGCTGGACTGGAAACTGAGCTGACCATTCAGACTTTGTGAGGTCATTAAATAACAAGAAGCGCGTTCAGGACTAGGAGGGGCTTGAACGAGTCACAGTACTGGATGCCCTGGGCAGACACTGGGTGCCGTGCCACTTAGCACTGCCATCTGGCATGTCGCTTGTGCCAAGGCCAAGATGCAGTGCTGGCTTCAGAGTAGGAAGGCCCATCTCTGGGAAGCTCATGTAGTCCTGCATTAACAGCAAAGCTTCTGGCGGCCTGCAGCCTGGGTTTGGGTCCTGGCTGCACTACTGCAAGCCTCTTGTCTCTTGCTCTGTAAGGTGGGAGGTATGACTACCCTCCAACAGCTTTGTGAGGCATATCTAAGGCAGGCCTGGCAGCGCCCAGCATGCTGACACCCAGCACCAAAGTGGCCGCTCAGTATATTTTCCTCCCCTTGGGAGCTTCATTTTTGAAACGGCTCATGTCATACGTAGCAAAGTCTCTCACTGTATACAATAAGAATGGTGAATTCTCGTGCTTGTTCCTCAGCTTCAACACTCAGCACAAGGCCAGACTGGTCACACGTGCACCTACCCTCTGTGCCCCCTTCCTCACGCCCTTGCCGCCCTCCAGAGCGTGCATTTCCAGGTCTCTTTAGCGTGTGGATGAGTCAGATGTGTGTAGTCAGATGGTGGCAGTGGTCACGCTCAGTTCCAGGTGGGGCTGGGTACTACCGACCTTACAGACAGACTGGAGGCTTGCTGTGGTGAATTCCCACATGGTAGGCGGGCCCTGTCATCTCTCATCACTCACGTCATGCGTGAATGGGGAAGGGCATGGCACGTAAGCCTTGAGAAAAACCTAAGTAGCTCCTTGGAAACATGCATCTGACTTAACGTTGAAGACACACTTGTCCCGGGTTCCAGTAGGTTCAAAGACACTGTTGTTTGCTTGCCCTCCCCAGTAGGAATAGGGGGGCCTTATTTTCCTGTGTGTTTCTAGATCGCTTCCCAGTTGCGACTCTTTGACCCTCAGCTGAAAGAGAAGCCGGAAGAGGAGTCCTTCGTGGAGCCCTGCTGGCTGGCCCGGCTGCGGCACGTGGAGGAGCAGGTTAAGGTGCGGCTTTGCTCCCAAGTCGCCGGGCTGGACAGAGACGTTCTGACAAGGTGGCTCCTGCCCCTGCCGCCTTCACACTGTAGGCATTTGGTGTAAACAGTGTAGTTTTAGAGATGCGTGTCAGGACGTCCTGATTCTCGGGGAAGGAAAGGCTGTCCAGCGGAGATGAGTGAGTGGGCCAGTGGGGACGGTGCTCAGCACACTCGCCCAGTCTGGCTGGCAGAAATACCTGCTGCGTCTCCCCCACAGGAGGGCACCCTGGAGTGGAGTCAGGATGGAGCCCTGCCCCGGCGCTGCCCCAGCACTCCGAGCTCCGAGGCAGGCCAGTGTGAAGGCCGGGGGCTTCTTCCGCCAGCTGGCCTGGGCCCTGACAATCTGCTGCTGGAGCTGCCTGTTCCCAGCGCTGAGCACGTCAGCCAGGGCGTGCGGCTGCTGCCCTCAGGTGAGCCCCGCACACGGGAGCAGCAGCAGCCCGCGCACCAGCCTCCCAGGACAGCTGCTTCCCACCGGGGAAACCAGCAGACTCGGGCACGTCTTGTGCCCCCCTCAGCCTCCTCTGTCCTCTGTGCCCCCTCCTCTGGCGAGCCTGTCAGCTCTCACGGCGTGAGACGTCCGTGCGAGTGGGTGTGTGGCGCGGGGCCCGAGGTGGGGAAGAGGGCTCGGCTCAGAGAGCTCTGAGCGGCGGCTGTCTGCCAGCGCATGTTGGCTCGCGTATATGCAGGTTGGAGCCCACACCCACATCGCATCTAGGGGCAGCCTCACCCTTGACCCTGAAAGTGTGTGTTCGGCTTCTCCCCGAGCCAGTGATGCCCTGGAATCTTGAGCATTTTCTGCTCTTGTGATTGGTTCTCCAATCCCCGGATGGAGGAAGTGTGGCCGCGCGTGTAGCAAGTGATCAGTTGTTGTGAGCCACCCGTCTGCTGCCTCAGGTGAGTGGAGTCAGCCTCAGAGGCTTAGACGTTTCTCTTCTCCGTTGTCTCCACACAGCTCCACCGTCACTCCCTGACGGCCAACTGGCCAGCCCCACTAGGGTGCCGACGTTCCCAGGGCCACTGCCACCCTCGGGCCCTGTCGAGTTGGGGCCTGGCTGTGCACCCACAGGGTCTGTACCTGGCTTTCCAGCACCCTCTGGGCCCGGTCCAGCAGCTGTTTACTCAGGGCCTGGCCTGCCACCTGGGGCACCGTCTGTCCAGGAATGTGAACACCTGCATCAGGAAGCCAGGAGCCAGGAACCAGGTGGGTCTGCCGAGGTGTGTCCTGGAGCAGAGCTGAATCGGGTTTGGTATTAGAGGTGTCCTGGAGAGACTTCCGTCATTTGAGGCAAGTCGCCTTACTAATCGTGTTCCAAAGATTCTAGGAGTTCTAGGCTGGGCGGGCTAAGTGTCAGTGCAAGTTCGTTTGCTGACCCGGCTTCTGATTAGGATGTGAATTGCAGTGGGTGTCCATGGCACAGCAGGCTGGTCTTGAGGTGTGCCCAGCCTCCACCCTGGGGAATTGCACAGGGGCGGCCCCCAGCCTCGCCCACAAATCAGACTAGGTGGCTCTTGTTTCTGATCTCTGCCTGTCTGTCTCCTTGGAAAGCAAAATATAGACCTGCCTTTAAAAAAGAGACTGTTTCCACATATTCAGGGGCATCTGCAGCCTTGGTCTCTGCAAACAGCAGAGGGGAGGGGAGGAGCCGGCACCACACAGCGGCCGCCCCCACTGGCACAGCAGCCCCCAGGCCATGGCTGCTCTTTCTGTTACAGGGCTGATGTCCCAGGAGGCACCTGGGAGAAAGCTGCTTTCGGAACGGAAGGAAGAGGGTTTTGGTGGAAAATCTGCTAATCTGGTACTCAGCCACTTTTTATTTTTTTAAGCTATTTGTTTTCCATAAGATACTTTGAGTAAGTATTCAAACTCCTTGTTCTTCAGTTTTAAGTAGGAGATGATCGTGAAAATTGTGAAATTATCTTTTAAATTGTTCCTTAGAGAGAACTTCTAAAATAGTTTGGATCCTTAAAATGTGAAGAGTTGTTGAAAAGCGCTAACAGGGAAAAGGAAGTATAAAAATGATCACATTAATGAGAAGAAATACCCATTTCTAATGAACTCAACTTTTGAATTTAATCTCTCTAAAATACAGAACTTCCCCAATTCTGTAACTCTTTCTCTACAACAGAATCCCTAAAATATTCACTGGTTTTCTTGAAATCAAGGATCATTTTATCAGACGTGTTGGTATAAATTCCAACCAGGAGGGACAAACGCTCTTACACAGAACAAGTTCTGAAACCTTCTGGACAGATACCAATTCTTTAAGGGCATCCCGTCAGTCCATCAGTAGGCGATTGCTGATGTTTAAATTTTCATTGTGTGTCCTACCATTAAAATATTCTGTCCCCAGAAAAGTGAAGAGTTTATATCCCCAGGGGTAAATGTTTTTAACAAGTCATCCTGTCCTTAAAATTCCCACCCCCAGCTCTGACCAGTCTAATCCTCAGCGTATAGGCGCATTCCACCTCTCCCAGCCTACAATGCCCTCTGAACTTGCTCCTTGGTAAAGCCGCTCAGTTGGGACAGGCTGGCTCGCCTCCCATCAGGCAGGGACCAGGGCTGCTCTGGTAGCCCCCTCCTTGCTGATCGCTGGCCTCTCTGGGGGCGATGGTCTAAGGGCTCCTGGGGCGGTATCCCAGGTGAGCCTGCCCCTATGTTGCCTTGGGACAGGGCTCCTCGAGGATGTCACAGGATTCTGAGGCCCCTCCAGGCTGGGAGTGTGCCAGCTTGCATGCCCTGCAGCCACCTCAGTCCCTGACGTCCACTCCTGAAGTGAAGAGACCCGTACAAACAGCCAAAAAGGAGACCAAGGAGCCTAAGAAGGTGAGGCATAGCTTACCGCCAGCCGCCGGGGGCCCGGGGCCGGGCTCTGAGCTCCCATGAGCAACTTTTCCTCATACGCTGGAGGGAAGGAAAAGGCATATGGTGGCTCTTTCATCAAGTCACATGTTTTTAGAAGCATGATACGCATACAGTAAAGCATGTGAAGCCACCACAGCCTGATGAATGTGTGTGTCTGTTCACGTGTAACCACCCAGGTCATGTGATGACGTTCCAGCCCCCAGAGGGTCCTGACTGTCCCTCTCCTCATGTCCATCCACCCTCCAAGGATGACCTGACTTGTGTTGCTATTGGTTCATTTTGCTGCCCTTGAACTCCCTATACAGGAGGCTTTCTGTCACTGCGTAGTGACGTCTGTTATGTGCAGGTGCTGTGGTTTTATTTATCCTCCCATTAACGGGCTTTCGGGTTATAAACAACACATCTGAGCTTTCTTGTCTGTGTCCTTCGGTGGCAGACATACCTGTTTCTCCTAGGCGTGTGCCTGGGCCACGAGGCAGCTGTCTGTCTAGCTTGAATGTCCTGCCACTTTTTCTAGGCAGCTACACCGGGCGACCTGGCAGCAGAGTTAGAGGCCAGGCGTCCGCAGCCCCGCCTGCAGCACAGGCTGTGACCCCATGCACTCTGCACGTCGGTCCTTTGCAGCCGTTCTGCTGGGACCGGCCATGCTTCCTGTGGCACGTCAGCATTTCCCTGATGTGTGACTGGCCGAGGCCTCATCCCATGCCCACTCGGCCTCTCTGTCCTGGGACGTGCTGGTTCAGGTCTTCCCCCAGTTTTGATCGGCTTGTCAGTCGTGTTGCAGGAATGCTTCTTACGTTGTGAGGCACGTGGGTTGCGAGTATCTTCTCCCAGTCTGGGGTTGCCCTTTTACTTTCAGCGGTGTCTTACGAAGGACATTGTTCTTAATTTTAATAGGGTGCAGATCACCAGATACTTTCTTTAGTAGCTAGGGCTTTAAGTAAGCACAAATTTAATCCAAAGGGTGTAGAAATTGTGAGAGAAGACATGGCGCTCGAGTCGAGTAGTGAGCGTACAGGCTGCGGAGCCCTTCCATGACAGGGCCGGCTCTGCCGCAGGACCGGAGGCTCGGCCGGGGGCTGCTGCCCAGCCGCTCTGTCTCAGTGACGTGAAGGGCCGTCCGTGAAAGCAGCGCCAGTTTCCTGAAGGCCTGGGTCCTCTCGACACGGGACCCCAGGCGGCCCCAGCCTGCCCGCCACTCCTCAGGTGGGAGAGCAGCACAGGCTGTCACTTGGCAGCATTTAGATGTGAATATTCTGATTTTTTTAAAATTGTGGTAAGATATATATAATATAAAATCTACCTTTGAACCATTTTTAAGTGCGTGGTTCTGTGGCACCAGATACCTTCGCATGTATGCGGCCATCGTGTCCATCTCCCGCAGCTGAGACTGCCCCTCTCAGGCACTTACCCATCGCCCAGCCTGGGCCCCCCTCCCCCACCTCATCTCCCCCCTGCCCCCTCTCACCTGGGGCGTCCTGCAGGGTGTGTCCCCTGCGGTGGGCGTATTTCACTCAGCATCATGTCCTCCAGGTTCTGATGGTTTTTATATTTAGAGTAGTGAATCCTGGTTCTCTCGTTGGCTTCCTGGGAAAAAAAGGACAGAAGCTTATTTGCCAGATGACAAGAACAAATCGGTGAGTATTGTAAGCGTTGTGCCTGGGGACCGAGAGGTGTTCCCGTGAGCTGCCCATCAGCCACGCAGTCGCTCGCACAGTGCGCCCTGCTGCCCGAGCGCCGTGGGCCCTGGTCCCAGTCTCGTCCTGCCTGCCTGCTGACCTTTTCCTTTCCTTTTCACAATCATGGCAGATCGTCTGGGATGAAAAGAAGAACCGATGGGTGGACGTCAGTGAGCCAGAGGAGGAGGTAAACTAGAACTCCGGGGGGAAAGCCAGCCCCTGTGGAGGCGCCAGCCTGTGGCCCCCCCAGGGGTGGGGTCCTGATGCCAGTTTTCTCTCTGCAGAAGAAGGCGCCGCCGCCCCCCCCACCATCGCTCCCCAAGGCTCCACAGGCTGAGCTCCCGGGTCCTGGAGGGCCCCCCAGAGCCTCTGTGAACATGTTCTCTAGAAAAGCAGGTAACGAAGTCAAACCAGAAAGGAGACTTGGGTGATTCATTTGTTCCACAGATGTTAGACTTGGGTGACGGTAGCATTCTGTCAGAGGGTAGTTTGCCCCACCGCGGAAGGGGTGCTGGTTTTATGAGCCCGGGGGGGCACCGTGTATGAGCCCTGACCCAGGGCAGAGAGCAGAGGCCAGGCCGGCACTGTGTGGGGGCGCCAGACCCTGGAGGGATCGGAGGGCCCCTGCTCCCTTTTCCGACATGAGGGGGGGTGTCCTAAGGAAGCTGGGCTGTTAGCTGCGCCCCCCTGAACGTGTTTCCTCTGCCCACGGAGCTGGAACCAGGGCGCGCTACGTGGACATCTTGAATCCCGGGAGCCTCCAGCGGAGCGAACCGGCCGTCGCCCCTGCGGATTTCTTTGCTCCTCTTGCCCCACTCCCGGTTCCCGCTCACCTGTTCGGACCGAACTCAGGTAGGCAGTACGGGGCACACTGGCACTTCTGTGTTAGCCCCACACCTCCTGACCCTTGACCCCTTTGCTGAGATCCTCTGGCTTTACTCTGCCTTGTGCAGTGCAGAGCCCACATTCCCAGCACCCAGAGGTGTTTTGGACAGAATGGCAGCCCCTTGCTCTGTCTCCTGCACAGATGGAGAAGAGGCATCGTCTGCAGAGGGGACCAGCCAGGAAGGGCAGGCACCCACCAGGGGTTCGACCAGTCCAGAGCCTGCCTCAGAACCCAAGGTGGGTGGGGGCAGCAGCACATCCAGTGGGCACAGTGAGAATCTGCCTCCTGCCCCGGCCTGAGCAAGCCAGCCCTGACCTTGAGTCAGTGTCCATCCTGTGCACAGAGCTTCCTGCCTCTGTGGGAGAGCTCTTCCCTCCTGAACCATCCTCCAGAGGGCTGCACACTAGAGCCGCATGCACGCTATATAAAGCAGTAAAGACTTGTTAATGTCTGCAAACTTAACATGTGAAATGCAACCTTTCAGAATATGGTTTCTAAAGCTGGATAGGCCTGGACTTCAGCCCTGGTCCCCTGTTAATTAGCTGTTTAGTCTGCGGGTGTCACTTAGCTACTCTAAGCCTGTTTCCTGCTCTGTGAAATGGTGAACAATAGCATCAGACCCCAAGGCCATCGAGGGACCCACAGTAGGTGTTCAGTGCCCGTGAGCTGTTGGTGTCAGAACTGGGGTGTGTGCGGCTGTGGCTCCCAGGCACAGGCAGGTTTGCTCCTGCAGCTTCCCGGAGGGTGGGCTTCATGGGGGGCAGGGCCGGCCCTGCAGGGGGAAGGTGCTGGTTCCCCGGGGTCTGGTAGGTGCTGCATTTGTTGTTTTTCTTGGCAGGTGCTAAGTTCTGCAGTGCCATTCCCTGGCTCTGAGCTCCCACCCTCCCGTGTGGATGGTCCCCAGGCAGGAGAGGTAAGGGGTGGGCAGACGGAGCATCTGCCCAGAATCTATGCCCAGGAAGTGTACATTATTGTCCACATGGCTTCCCCCTTTAGAAAGGAGTGCTAATGAGCAGGAAAGGGCAGGTCAAAGATTCTTTAGGACTTGAGAAGTGCTGGTCTGCCCTGGTCTGCATGGCGTGCGGGGTATGTCACGTCCCCTCAGCATGGCAGCCACGCTCCTGACTGCCTAGTGTCGTGAGCCCCGCCGCCTCCGGCCAAGGGCTGGGCAGAACCATCCCCCACTTCCCAACTAGTGGTGGTTTCTTAATAAAAACTGTACATTAAAATAGGAATTTTAAGATAATCCTGGCTTTTTCCCATTGGAATTGTACTGTGATGGCATCATAAAGCTCTTTGGAGTTAAGCCGACAGCTTGGAGCGGTGACGTGCATGTCGATCTTTATTTGTCTGTATTTTGTGTGTGTTTTGCTGTTTTGTAGCTTTCGCGCTGTAGCTCAATGAGCTCATTGTCACGGGAAGTAAGCCAGCACTTTAATCAGGTACCTGAGGCTGGCCGTTCTCACTGAACGTAGGCTTGGGTCGGGCCACCTGTTTGTCTGTGAGCGTGCCGTCTGGTTGGCCCCACGCGCTGTCACTAACACGCCTGCCGTCTCACCCAGCCGCCACACGACTGAGGATGCAGGCTTCCTTTCTTTAAGTGCCTGCAAAGGGTGGTAGTAGATAGCAGGGTACAGGGACAGTTGACCCCAAAAGTTGGCAGTGAACGAATGACATGTGGAACATGCTCCTTCTGAATCGTTGTTCCCAGTGGCTAGCCCTGGGCACAGCTGTGTGTGAGTGTTTCAGGAGCCCACCCCGGCCAGGCTGCTTCATTTGAAAGGAAGAATTCCTGTCCTCTGACGGAGTGGGGGGGCCGGGCAGGCCGGGCAGAGCACCGCGGCGCTGTCCTGTGGCCGGTCTGGGTGGGAAGTGCGGGAATGCTTCCCCTGGATTTGTACCCAGGAACTAAGCTTTGCCTATTGGCTCACAGAAAGGCTTCAGAGGACTTTTTTGTGTATTAAACACTGGATTTTGTAGTTGGATACTTGAGGTCTGAAGTGATCAAAAATACCTCCTAACGTGTGAACTCCCATTGATGCGGCATGTTGGCACCGTGTGCTCTTTCTGCATGTCCTGCTTTCTGAAGCATTTTCCTCTGCATGCTGCTTTTATTTTTATCATTTATCTATGAACCACTTGTAATTAAATCCAGTGTTGGAAAAGTACCTTTGCTCGTTTCTGTGGTGTATGTAGAAGTATTACGAATCCGTCCTCAGAAATAGTTCGTTTGCTGCCGTTACCTTGGTGTTGAGATGTGCTCTCTGGTTCCCAGGCTCCCAGCGGCCCCCCCACTGCAGGCGGCCCCCCTGGGCCAGTGCCCTTCTACAGCCCTGCTCAGTTTGCACAGGTGAGTGTCCTGGCTGGCCCCGTGGGAGGCGGGGAGCGGGAGAAGGCCTTCCCCATGCCTGTGCACCCCCCGGGTCTGCTGCCGCCCTTGGCTGTGCCAGCCCTGCGGTTTCCTGCCCGCCTGCCCTGGCCTGGGTCCGAGCTCCCTCCGCAGGCCTGCCTGGGCTGCCCTCACCTGCGGCCCGTGTCCCGGTCGGGGACTGTTCTCCAGCACTTCCTTCCGTTCTCTTCCTCCGCCTTCTCTCCTCTCCTCTCTGTGCTCTTGCCTGTAGAGCACAGGCTGGCTGTGCCCATTTAGGGGCAACTAAGTGCGAGAAGAGGTTTATGGAGGGATGTCTTGGCATTCAGAATGTAAAACCCCACCTCACCCCTGGCTTGTGCTGATGCAGACACTGCCTCCTCCTCACTTGGGGGCTGTGCCTTCCCCCAGGCTCCCCGCCGGTCGGGGGCCAGTACCCTTCCCTCACCCCCCACCTGCCCTGCTCTGGGCTGTCTGCACTCCCATTGTCTCTTCAGTAGCAGGCCAGGCCACCATCCTAAGTGGCTGTCTGGCCTCCCTTCCCACAACCTAACAAAACTGCCCGCACCTTTAAAAGGAACGCCAAGGTGGGTACTGGCCAGGCGCGCCCACCCGAGGGCACGCGAGGTCAGAGCCGCACACGTCCTTTCAGGCCTCTGCAGCTGCAGCCAATTCACGGATGGGGAGGACTGACCAGAGGGGGCCCCTGGCCCTGAGCTAGAACAGGCCCTGCTTCGGACTAGTGCTGGGAACGCAGACTGATCACCTGTGGCCTCTCCTCTGTCCCCGGCTGGACACAGCAGTCCTTCAGAGTGGTTACCTGTGGCCCTTCTCTCCTTACCACCTGTCTTCAGGATGGACTGCCAGGATTGATTCCACAGCGCCTTTAACATGCTGAATGAGGAGTGAATCTCTGACTTAGAATCTTTTACCTAGAAGAATGATTAAAGATAAAACGTTCTTAGTCATTTAAGATAATTACACTAGGTGAGGCTGAAAGCGTCTTGGCTGCACGAGCATCTTTTGCTCTTTAGTAACTGGGGTATCTTGCAAAACCTAACTGTGAATTACTACCACGTAAATGCCACGGTTCTTGTAACTGGAAGAGAGTGAGCCTCTGACTCGGGACAGAAGCCCCGTGCCGGCCTGAGCCCTGCCTCACCACCTGCGCCCCTAAGGAGCGAAGGGGACGCCCCACCCCTCATCCGAGTCCACGGAACCGCGGTATCCAATCAGCAATAATCGGTTAGGTGTTGAGAGAGGCCCAGGGTGCCGCAGTGCGTTTCTCTCCTGAGGCAAAGACTTCCAGCTTCACCTAATTCTCTTGTGGCCTGACTGGGATCACGAGGGGTTTCATGCAACCAAAGGGGACTGGGTTTGCCCATCCTTGGGGGCAGCTGTGTTATGGAAGAGCCACCACAGGACTTGTGTTCAAAATGTGACTGATCCAGATTAATCAGCCACTGTTAGAACTGGGACTCATGAGCTTGATTTGGGCTTTTTAGTGTGTGAGTAGCCTGGTGGACTCACTGTCACTTGGGGTTGGCGTGCTCTGTGAAGTGGTTGGCACCATACTTCCCAGCCAGTGGTTTTTGTCGCGTGATCCGCTTGACTCGCCATCTCTCACCTGGTTGATGCCACGTAAGGGGTTGGTAACACCTTGAAAAAAGTGGCCTAAAATAACCTCTTGACAGTTGCTCTGGAATCTGCTGTTTCTGCCCTTGAACTTTTTCCCCACCAGGATCTTCAGTAGCTAGTAAGTCACTATCAGCCATACGATACTGCGAAGGAAGACCTCCTCTCGCTGGACTCAAAGCTTTATGGCATCATCGACTGTTAAAATTCTTCAGTTCTTGTTAAATCTAAAGAGCCTGAAAAAAAAAATGGTTTAAATATCTATAGAGATTAGGAAATAATTTCTGTAGGTTCTGCTGGGGGAACATAGTTTGCTTGGCATTTTAAATCTAAGTGTAGAAATTGTGTAAATGTGGGATCAGCACAGGGCCCTCCCAGTCTTCTGGTCCACCTGATCATCCAGGAAGGATCCACAGGATGTTTTCCAAAATATCTCACAGACTCGCGTGGCTGGACCCATTTGTGTTTGCCACCCTGACAAAGGCCAGGCCTTGGCGGGGCCGTCTCGTGTCCGTCTGTCAGCACTGGGTGTGATTTTGGGCCTGAGACCCTCCTGGCGCCCGCGGCTTCCTCCGGTCCCGCCCTGCCACTGTCTGCTGACTGCCAGGACTTTTCGATTCAAGAAGCTTCCTTTGAGGCGGGAGCTGCTATTTTTCCTAAATGCAAATTGTTAAATAAAGTATTTTGCTTGCAAGCACCTTCCCCTGTTGTTCATTGGAAGCCGTGAACCTCCCACAGCAAGGTCATGGGGTTGGGGGCCTGGACGAGCCCTGGGTTCTGTTCAGCTGCGGAGGCCTCGGCCCGCTGGGCTTGGGTTCCTGGCTCTTTCTGCGCCCTCGGGGAGGGTGGTGGGTGGGTTTGCAGTGGAAACCCATGCCCACAGGGGTAAATACAGGGGTACCTGTTACCTGGCGAGCGGATGTAGGGCTCCAGCTCCAACCAGGGCGCGAGGGAGCGCGGGCGAAGAAAGCGCCCGGCGGGCCGGGCTGGCGGGCGGGCGGGCGGCCGCGCCGGGGGAAGGGCGCCGGCCTGCACGTCGGGCCCCGCGGGGACGGCGGGACCTCCGGCCGCCAGGGGTCGCTGCGGGCGCCGGCTCCGCGCCGTCTCGACCTCAGAGCCGGGAGCTGCTGAGGCCGCTCGCCGGGCCCCGGCTGGCCGGAAAGGTGGGGCGCGGGCTGGGGTCTGCGCGGGGAGGCCGCGGGCTGGGGTCCGGCGCGGGGGGGGCCTCGAGCGCGGGTCTCGCCCCCCACCCCGCCAGCTGTCCGCGGCGGTCGTTGCCTGGGAGTCAGCCGCGGGCGGAGCCGCCGGTCCTGAGTCGGGGGCCTTGGGCAGCGGCCGCAGACCTGCTCAGGGTCGCCCCGGCGGGTCCGCTGCTCGAGCGACCGTGGCCGGCGGGCAGGTGAGCCTAGGGCGGCCACCTGCCCTGGAAGACGTGCAAGCGGGACCCCTCGCCGGCCTTCCCTGTAGGCCCGGGAGTTTTCACTTGGTCATGCTGCCAGGACCCCCCCCGCCCCCATGGCAATGGTCACTTCCACCCGCCTCCTAGAAGGAAGCAGCAGGCCAGACAGCTAAATGCTTGTCCTTGCTGGACTCTGCTGACCTGTCCACTCTCACCCTGCAGCATAGCTGTCCTTCAGGAATATTACGTCGGCAACAGGGCCATGATCATAGAAGGCTGATACCAGGGTTTCCCTTTAGGTGCCTGTGGGGGACTCCATGACTACAGGGCCTCCAGCCATGCTGCAGCTGGCCCTTCCCCTCCTCCACCGCCCTGGGCCTGAAGGGCAAGCTGTGGCCTGTTTTCTCCTCTGTGCCTCGCGCAGCGACATCTGATCCCTCATCCCTGATACCGAGTATCACCTGCAGCCCCGGAAGGAGTCCTCTCCTGGGTTGGCTAGGCTGCCATTGCCCTTGAGGGCTGGTCCCTGGACTATGCCGTCCAAGCTGGCATGCCGGGGACACTCAGAAGCAGCTCCCCAGCAGCCTGCCTCCAGTGGGCACAGACAGCCTGAAGACAGAATGCTCAAGGGGCAGCTTCCAAATACAGACAAAGAGCTCACCTCCCGCCCCGGGTCCCCACCCACTGACAGCTGTCAGGGCCCTGGGAAGGGCCCAGTGCTCCCTCTGACCATTCCAGCAAAAATCAGCAATGAGGACTCACAGGCTAAAGCAAAACCCTTCACGCCAAAGCCACCGACAAGGCCCAGGCTGGAGCGAGCGCTGTCCCTGGATGACAAGGGCTGGAGGAGGCGGCGTTTCAGGGCCGGCCACGAGGACCTCCCTGCCCAGAATGGGGTCAGCTCCTCCAGGGGCTCCCTGCAGGATGAGGTCCTGGGCACCCCTGCCCACAGTTGCTCCCCACCCTGCCTGAGCACCTCCTTGCAAGAAATCCCCATGTCCCGCAGGGCTCCAGGCAGTGGGGGTGGGAGCCCCTCCTTGTGGGGTGCCAGTATCTCCGGGAGGATCAGCACCTCCCTGGACCTCCTGCACCAGGACGGAGTCTCGGCTGGGGGCCTCCCCAGGCTGGCCAGTGTTCCTTCCTCACACCTGCTGCCCGCCATGGACCAGAACATTGCCTCCGACTCTCTGCGGACAGCAAATAAGGTGGACTCAGATCACGCCGACTACAGGCTCCACCTGCAGACCAGACTGTTCCGGGCCCACAGCAGCCTGGGCCCTGGCCGGCCCCCGAGCGTCCTAGCCTGTGATGACTGTTCCCTTCGTTCGGCCAAATCCTCCTTCAGCCTCCTGGCACCAATCCGCGCCAAGGACGTCCGGAGCAGGTAGGGCCTCCCCAGAGCGGTGAGCATTACCTGTGGCCTTTACCATGGGAAAAAAGCAGTCTCCCCAAAAACCGTGTGAAGGTATCCTGGAATAAATGCATAAGGTGCAGCAACGTGGAACCCCCTTCCCCAGCTCCTGCCCAAGGGCCACCCTTCCAGAGCTCTGCCACAGCACCATTCAGGTGTGCGCACCTGTGAGACAGCTGGGCACTTAGACCACCTTCTGCCTACTGCAACTCTCTTGTTCTTTCTCGTTTTCCTGGACAGGCTTCTCTGTCCATGTGTCCAAGTCTGCCCCCGCTGTCTGTCCTACTGGGTCCCGAAATGCGTTATTGAGCAACACTGCTACGCAAGCACTTTGCTGAAGATGTGCATTTAGGCAGGCCCCGCTGGCCAGCCATGGACACGAGCTGCGTGTGCCGGGTCTTTTCCAGCACAGAGAGCTAGGCGCGCGTTTCTGCACTGAGACACGGGGGCAGAGCAAGCAGGGCCCGATTTGCTGCACTTTGCATCCAGGAGTGGCCCGTGACCCCCCTGACTTCCTGGGACTCAGGCTGCTAAGCACCCTACCACTGAGCAGCCTCCCACAGGCACTGAGGACACCTGGTTTCCAGACTTCGTGGGGCTTTAATAATTAACCCATATTGACTTTTTTATAGCTTGAAAAGAACCTGGATACCTTCCCTAATGTTTCTCCTGCTGCTTGCAACCCCTAAACCCACACCTCTGGCTCCTCTCTCCTGAGGCCGGAGCTCTGAGTTCACCATACTGGGGTCCCAGAGACTTCCGAGCCTGGCTGCCCAAACCTGGGGCCTCGGTCTTGGGCTGGTGCCCCTTGGCCCACCCGCTGCTGTCTGTCCGTGCTGCCCTGGCCACAGATGGTCTCAGGGCCCCCACTTCCCCCTGCCCCCGACTCCTGCTGTGTCAGCCAGGAATTTGGCCCCCTACCAGGGCTGGACGGGTTGCTGGAAGCACACGTCGGGCCATGGCCCTGACTTGCGGGCCCCATGCCACGCACTGCCCATGAGGCACCCGCAGTCCTGTGGGGAAGCCCCTGGGGTTCCCACTCCCCTTGCCTGGCTCTTCTCACCACCATACCTGCCTGCCGTCCTGCCGATTCAGCCAGAGGCAGCGGCTGTGTGACTGGTCACCGTGGTGGTTTCCTGGCTGCCATAATAAGTGACCATGGACTGGGGGCCTTACAACTAGAACTTTATTCTCTCCCAGTCCTGAGGCCCAAGTCCTAAACCCAGGAGTGGGCAGGGCTGCGCTCCCCTGGGGGCTCTAGGGAAGGGCCCTGCTGCCTCCCCAGCTCCAGGCATCCGTGGCTTGTGGCTGCTTCCCTGCAGCCTCTGCACCGTCCTCACATGGTCTCCATATGTGTCCTCTCCTCTCCTTAGAAGGACACTAGTCACTGGATATAGGGCCCACCCTTATATCCGGGATGATCTCATTTTGAGGTCCGTAACTAATCCCATCCGCAAAGACCCTGTAGCCAAATAAGGTCCCGTTGGCCGGTCTGTGGGCTCCGCAGGTGGGCGAAGGCAGTGCTTACCTGCCTTGCCTGTGCTGAGCCTGGCAGTGACCGTGAAGGCCAGGCAGGTGGTCCTGCTCCAGCCCTGGGCCCTAGAGTGAGGCCTCTGCCCCCCTGCCCCCTCGCCCCCTCCATCAACATGGGGATGGTTTATAGGACAAATCCGGCTTTTTAAACGTAATTCACCTCAGGTTTCTTGTAAGCAGCAAGATGGAGATCTCCTTGATCTTTCGCGGTTTAGCTGTACTAATTGGTGCAGACACACCTACTGTGTAAGGTGAGGGTCTCAGAGCTCAGCCTGGGGGTCTCCATTTGTTGTTTCCAGACCTGTGGCACAAAGCGGGTTGGTGGGCATTCATCACCCATTCTGCTGACTCAGGATGCCCTGTTTCCACACCTTGGTGTGCTCTAGAACAGGAGTCGGCACCCTGTAAAGGGCTGGGTACTAAATATTTCCATTTTCTGGGCCTCATAGTCTCTGTCACACCTCTTCAACTTCACCACTGTACAGAAAGGCAGCCATGGACTATGCACCCCGACAGACATAGCAGCACGTCAGTCATACTTGATGAAGGGGCCTCCAAATTTGCATTTTATGTGGTTTTTCCTCCAGGCATTTAAAAGTGTAAAAAGGATTCTTAGCTCTTGGGCTAACAGCAGACAGGCTGCGCCCAGCCAGGGCCGGAGCCTGTGGCAGGAAGAGCTGGGCAGCGGGAGGGCACTGGGCGTGCACCTGACGGTGCCGCCTCCTTCCTGGGAGCCCGCAGGCACGGCCTCAGGCCCCGGACCTCAAGAAGGAGAGAGAGGATGCGTTGGCGATGTGGCCGCTCCCTGTTTACACTGCGGACAGGCCTGGGTGGGAGAGCCCATCCCCTCGGGCAGGGGGGCGGTGGCCGCGCCCTGTGACTGAGGGCTCCCCAAGTTCCCGGGGTCCCCAAGAGCGTCCAGGCAGCAGAACCAGGGTCAGCCTATGAACACAGGGAGACGTAATACGGTCCGCATCCTTCAAAGCCTGACAAGCATTTGATAATTTCTGATGCGAGGTCGCGAGAACTCGGTTTAGGTTTCAGTCCAGCAACCATTGGCTTGAGAGCCTTGTGCCTAATCTGACCTCCTTTTTTTGCAAAGTGGTTTCTGTTTGCAAGTCTGAGGTGTAAGCTTTTCTTGGCAAGTTGGAATTGAAAGAGTAAGTCAGAAGCTTGAAAAATACTGAAGGTTTCTGTTTACTGCGTCACATCATCTGACCACGGTCCCATCCGCAAGCGCGCTATCCAATGACAGCCCTCCAGTAAAGCCAGTACAAGCCCACAGTGACAGGGAGCCAGCAACGGGCCTCCTGGGTGTGCTGGCTGGGTGCTGGCCAGTCACAGCTGCAAGTGC